TCTATCTATCTATCTATCTATCTATCTATCTATCTATCTGTAAAGTTTAATTAATTAATTTATTTTGATAGTTCATATAGTTACATTTGATTTAATTCATGACTACGTCTCTAAGATATTTAGTTGTATCTGCTTTTCCTTAGGTTAGATTCTCATTGGTTCGTTTTTAGTCATGTGACAAAAACAAGGAAGTGGGTGTGTTGAGGGAGTTGGAATGAGACGGCAGGATCCGTTTGTACAAACACCGCACGGCCGAGACGTGGGCGGCCGCCATCGGTGCTCCGGCCGCCGGCTCAAGGCTGTTCTCACACCGCGGGGATGGTTACTCAACACCGGAGGTTGTTTATTCCGGAAGTGGTTCTTCGTTTCCGGTTTTAAAAAAAAGAAAAAAGAAAAAAAAGAAATCGCCGCTGGCGCCACCTGCCGGCCTGGAGGGGAAGGCGAGTTTACGAAGATAGATTATCTATCTATCTATCTATCTATCTATCTATCTATCTATCTATCTATCTGTAAAGTTAAATTAATTAATTAAATTTGATAGTTCATATAGTTATATTTGATTTAATTCATGACTACGTCTCTAAGATATTTAGTTGTATCTGCTTTTCCTTAGGTTAGATTCTCATTGGTTCGTTTTTAGTCATGTGACAAAAACAAGGAAGTGGGTGTGTTGAGGGAGTTGGAATGAGACGGCAGGATCCGTTTGTACAAACACCGCACGGCCGAGACGTGGGCGGCCGCCATCGGTGCTCCGGCCGCCGGCTCAAGGCTGCTCTCACACCGCGGGGATGGTTACTCAACACCGGAGGTTGTTTATCCCGGAAGTGGAAGTGGAAGTTTAAAAAAAAAAAGAGAAATTCCCGCTGGCGCCACCTGCCGGCCTGGAGGAGAAGACGAGTTTACAAAAGACGATTCAAATCAATCAATCCATCAATCTATCTATCTATCTATCTATCTATCTATCTATCTATCTATCTATCTATCTATCTATCTATCTATCTATCTATCTATCTATCTATCTATCTATCTATCTATCTATCTATCTATCTATCTATCTTGCTGCTCTGCACACAGTATCTGTGTTTACTGATATCTAACATCTAAATAACTTTCTTTTTTTTTCTTTGAATGAAAATTCAATAAAAAATGTTTTATTAAAAAGTGGTCTCTGGCCAGTTGTAGGGCAACAGGTAAAGAATTAGAAGTTACTTTTCAACACATTTCACCTCAGTGAAATTCCTGTTCTTCTTGAATAGTACATTGTTCCTCCTTAAACCTAAATTTTCTTTGGTATTCTTATTGTTAGATTCCGTCTTCTGTGTCTGACGATAATCCCACCTGGTGAAACACATCTGGTGGATCCAGGTGTGTTGATGAAACCCTCCAGATGTTACAAATGAGCCCTGAACTGACCAGGTGGCACCCGGGTTGCCCGTCTGCTTCCTGGTTAAAGATAATAAAAAGTATGTGGACAGAAAAAAAACCAGGAGAGGACACAGGAAGGAATGAATGGCCAAAACAACACTGACCTCCTTTGTACGTCAAATTTAAAGTCAATATTTAAGTTTTCGAGGGTGTCATGTAGACTTAAGGCAGGAAAACAGGAGCTAAGGGGACGGGTGATGTATCGATTTCTCTGTATCCTGTTTGTTTTTCTGCTCTATCAGAGCAGAACAAGAGAAAAAGGAGACTAAAGGAGACTAAAAGCACTTTAGCGACGAAACAAAACTTGTTTTAGGTGATGACAGTTATAGTAAATGTATCTTCTGTAAGCACTGAGCTGTTTTCTGTATCATATTGCCATTTAAAATGATTAACACTTTTTGTAAATCTATTCAAATGTATGTGTTTTACTAAATAATACATTTTTAAAACACATTCATTGTCTTTTAGTTGATTACAAAGTTTACACCTGGCTTACGTAAAAAATGATAATGTTTGACGTAAATAAATAATCTAAATAATGTCTCACCAAGAATAACTGGTTTCAAATTCCTCCTGTAGTATAAACTCCATCCATCAAAGCTCCTTCTTTATATTTTCTCTTTGGTGGTGAAATATTTTGCCCGTCAGCTTGATTCCTCCTTTAAATTCACCAGCCGTTCACAGACAGTGAACCAAACCTGAACCTGACCGCATGTTATATTAAAAACCACCAACGGAAACAACCGAAACTCAAACACTGAACCTTTTGTGACGCTTTTTGTTGTCAAGACGACAGATGAGTTGTCCGAATGAAAAAAAAAAGAGCCAAACCCTCCTGCATTGTCTGTGAGTAGTGGTTTGAATAGTAGGACATAAAGGACATATACGTCCCTCTATAGATAAAGTTCTGCTTTCTATCACTCAGTTTACTTCATTTCATATGGTGAACGCTAAATTAACCCTTTAATGCCAAATGTGTCATATTTGATACGGTTTCTGAAGTCTTTTGGATCTGAGACTTTCTGCATCATTCAGTGGTAAAAGCTTTGCTGAAACCCCTGTTGTACACATTCAGATATACCTGATAACAGCCAGTAGAAGACTACACCAACATAGATTTTTGACTTATTGCACGCTAATTTGATCAAAATAATTTCTGTTTTTTTTTCTTCATGTGTTGTTGAGGGGCCAAAGAAAGCGTTCAGACTAAAAAAAATCCAATATTCTTCCTATTTTTATTGGATCAGGCCATGAAGTGTCACCCAAATGCTTCATTTTTTAAGAAAAATAAAAATAAAAAAGAGGATGCTCCCTATAGGCAGAATGGATTCTCAAACTGACCACATGTATTTTATGTTTATTTTTATGTTTATGCATTTCGACGCTTTTATCCAAAGCGACTTACAAAGTAGACACAGTTATACAATTATTATCAACATGATAATACGTTTTCTCTA